TTATCCAACTCGTCCAGGTAGCAGTCGACAAAATCTCGCGGCTCTCCAGGGACTCTGCTCTTCTTGTGTTCATCCACCAAACGTCTTGAAATATTGATAAAAGTCTACAAGATAGAAGTCAACTGTGCTCGTATGTTCACATTCTCTGGAAGAATTTGTCTAGTTTTTGTGTTCTTTAGTGTCTTATTACACATTATAAGGCCACAGACTGAATATGAAAAGACTGTGCTTAAAGTTAGAGCTTTATGTTGGGAAGTCTATAAATGAGACTGTTACAGGAATCCTTCTGCAATTGGATTAGATTCCTCCAGACACTCAGAGAAATTTCAATAACATTCAGTTTGATTTGATTATTTTAGCATTAAATATTTAACTAGTTTGTGAAAACTGACACACTTACTTTGCAAGTGAAAGAAAGGTGTGTTTTTGTTTTGTTTTGTTTTTTATTCTACGAGTTAAATCTTTGTGTTTGAGCTCCAGCTTGTTCACAAATCTCCCAGGAAAAGCCGCCACCTTCAGGCTCTGGCCTTTAAGCTAAATGAATGAATCCTGGCTTCCTCCCTCCAAATTCCTCTAAATCTACATTGAAATGTACTTGATGAGAAATCATAGCAGCCGACCACAATCCATGAGTGAAGGAAAAGCAGAAAATACAAAAAGAAAAATTCAAATGCTGAGTGTGTAAACTTATCAAAGTAACTTTATGTCCTACATTACCTCCACATTCTGAAAGGCCTTGTTGTAGGGCAACCGGAGGGGACGGATCAAAGGAAATGAGTCATAGATCTGAGAAAAAAGATAAATTATTACAGTGCATGGATTAAATAAAAAAAAAAAAACAGATCCTGTTTGAATAAAACACCTCTCAGGAGGAACATATTCATATTCATCTTAAGATATTCAACTTTTATCGTGAGAGTCAAACTTTAAGAAATACTTTCACAATATGGTTTTTGATGTGTTTGTAAAGAGATTTCAACTGAGAAAAATTAATCTAGCAAAAAGGTGCTAAAGTGTTTGAAAAGACTAAAACAGTGATTTGTTAAAACTTTACATTGCACCAACTAGAGCAAGAATATTATAGGAAGATGTTCAGATTGTGATCATCATAATCTGCTTTCTTTATCCACTTCATCCCATTTCTGTCTGATGCTGCGACTCACCATCGCCCACGGTCCATTGGCTATTTTGATAGTCTCAGTGAAGCACCTGATAATAATTTTGATCGTCTCGTCTTCGTACTCGTAACGCTTTCCAAACAGAACCTTGCAGATGATGTTGGAGGCTGCATTATGAAACATGAACTGAGGACTCAAAGTTTTACCTGAAACAACAAACCAAACAAACACAAGAGACAGAAACGTGACAGGGTTGAACGTTAGTACAAAATAACACAACAGAAAGATATGAATGCTTAAAATCACAGGAGACGCACCAGTGTTGTCATCTAGAGTTTTAATTATGTGCTGAATCTCTTCATGGATTCTTTCCTCCATTGACTTCTTTCCCAAACCAAAGTTCCTCAGAGTCATGAGAGCAAAGCGCCGATGGTCCCTCCACAGAGAGCCGTAATCAACCAAAATCACACCTATAAAAGACAAAAAAACTTTCAAGGTGACATTTAGCTACGCAGTAACCTCAAGTACTCAGAAACTGTGTGAATCTGTAAATTAAAAATTGCATTTTGTTTTATTCCAAAGTGTTTTCTTTATTTGAATAAAAATGAGGAATAATCTTGTGTAGGTTGACCTTTAAGGTTATTTAAATTTGATCGGAGTTGTTTAAACATGGAATGAACACATACTAACTTTACTCTGGAAACTGGAAACCATTTACAAATACCAGCATGAGCATATAGATGCTCATTTTGATGTAAAATAATTTATTAAAGTCATAAACAAATAAAGAAACAAAGTCTGAAGCTGTAGTTATAGTTTCTGGTTAATTAGGGTTTAGAATGATTGAATAATGGCAAAAAATAAAATGATCATCTTCCAACAAAACAAACTTAGCACTGTACATTTTATTGATAATTAGAACAGGAGTTTGAATATTTTCATTTACATTTATACCAAGTCAGTCTTGCTAGTGTTTTTTGTGCATTATGTTATAAAACACATACATTACCTTTGTTATCAGTGGCATTAGTAATTAATATGTTTTGGGGTCGACCAGCGAAATCAGCAGCTTTGACCACCATCGCCTCCTTCATGGCCTTAAACCCATTTATGACCACAGCTGGTTTCTGACCCAAGAACAGACTGTAGACGTTTCCATACGACTGACTCAGCTGGAAGAAAGAAGGGTTTTTTTTTCAGATTTTATGTTTTCTACCTCTTTATCCTAGTGTCCATCCATCCATAAACATGTGAAGGACGTCTGGTCAATGCAGAAGACCAAAGATTTATAAATTGGAAATGGGGAGATGATGGTTAGAGAACAAACCTCTAATCCTGAAACCTGTTTTCCTCATCCTGGAGTTACCCATCATTTTCCCTACTGCATGTATCGGCGTTTCCATTGACTATATAATCGGAAAGGTGGGCATTTCGAAAATAATTACGTTTAAGGGAAACTTGGCAAATTTGAAAAAATTATAATTTTTTGATAAAAAGTTTTTCACTAGTGATATTGGTTCATCTCGAAAAACTGCAATGGAAACACTTTTTTTACATCACAAAAGTCAAAGGATCAACAACTGGTTTGCACCATTAGCTACTGGAGCAAGCCATGAAGAAGAAGACAGGAAGTAGGTGGAGAAATATGGTGAGCCATGATTTTTAACAAGTTATCTCGTGAACAAACTTTTCCACATGTGATTTTAATTGCTTTTTTATTTAATGAAAAGACTGTAATTGTGAAAATGTATTTATTTTTTTGGACGTTAGCAGAAGATTGGCAAAGGTTTGTGCACATTTTAATGGAAATGCAGCTTCTGCCACCTTAAAAATATGATTCTGATCGAGTTTATACCAGCTGTCATAAAACTACTTCGGTCTGGATGCCAGTGAGCTAAAGGGGACGTTCATGTCAGACTTGGTTGGAAAACGTATTAAAAAATAGCAGCAACCTTTGGATGGCTTACACACAATGACTTTGCAAACCGAAGACTAAAACATAAACATCATAAAGATTGACTAATAATGATAACAATAATCTTTCTAGACCAGGGCTCTTCAACTTCAGTGCTTAAGAGATTTTTCCCGCAGGTCTTAGATGCATTGCTGCTCAAACACACCTGAATCAAATAAATGTCTCATGACAGAGAGTTACAGCGGCTCTAGATTTAGAGACCCCTTCTCTGGACATTATCCGTCTTTTCAATAATGCTGCTAGATTATTGACCAGCTGGCTGGTCCCTCATTTCTAATCTATCCCTGAAGCAAAGCATGACTCATAAGTAAATTTGTCGTTAATCATTAAGTCTGGCTTATCAGTTTTTCCAAGCGTGAAAAGGAGACTGTGACTAAGCAGAATGTAACTTTGGACATAATTTTTGGTGTTTGGACACGAAAAACTGAGGCAGAAGATCAAATGGGCTGAGTGTTGGTTTGGAAGAGCAGATTTAATTTGGTGAATTCAAAAAGTGTTGATTTTTTATGCTTAATGTATGAAATTCTACATTAATAAAATAATTGATGAAATTTTTCCAGTCATGAAAGACAAAATGTTTCTGTCTATATGCTCCGTCTTGTCACTTTAATGTCCAGTGTAAATAGTGCAGGACAGTAGCCATAAATGTTTTAATAACTTTTGCATTTGGAGAGCTTTAGAAGTTTGTGTTCTTATGATGGACTGTTATGAGGGAGTATTTAAAGGTACAAGCATTAATGCTTTTAATGCAAAAACACATGAAGTGTTTATGCAGTAGCTGCTTTTTAATGCAAAAAATCTTTTTATGCATTAAAAAGCAGGGATACTTTAGGATAATTTATCTAAGAATCTCTTACAGTTTCCTGAATCATGCTGAGTCATGCTGGGCACAACTTCAGTTCACGTAATGTTTGACTTTGCTGCAGAGTAACCTATGCCTTACAAACAGACAGTACAAAGTTTTCTTTAACCCAAACAAATTATTCCACTAAATATTAGCTTATCAACAGTCGAGTTAAAATTTGTGGACTACCTGCAATTCTGAACAAGTAAAACGGAAGTTTGCAAGCGTTAAATGGAATTAAAGCAAGATATGGAAATCAATCTTATATAAATTGTAAAAACAAATAAGAAACATAGATTTTCTTACCCTATCAAAGTCTTTTAAGGGGTTGTTTATGTTCAGGTTCCAAAGGTTCCCCAGTACAGGCAGACTGGGGGGTCCGGGTGGGAAGTTCTTGGGTCTCTGAGGTTTGAGTTGAAGGAGAAGGAAGACGACACAGAGCACCAGCAGAAATACTGAGATCATGTTGGCTTGTGTTGGGTCAAACCTGCTGAACTTATTATGAAAGTCTGTATCTCAGCGCTGACTGCTCTGGTTCTGCCCTTTGATTCTTTGTTTTTAAAGTCAGGGGCAACATCAGGCATTAATAGATGGTCATAAGAAAGGACAGGAAATGAAGTTATAACATAGAGGGATGGGTCTTCAACTCTGTCTATGGTTTTTAGTTTTATCTCCTTTATGTAACCAGTTAGGTTTATTTTATAACTATATAATTATTAGGAAAAGGACCAAACTTAAATCTTGAAAACTGCTGGCAGTTCCAACTTTCTGTCACATATTTATTAACCATCTGTGTTTATCTGGTCTTGTTTCAAAGTCACCAACAAAAAAACACTGGAAGATTATTTCACTTTAGAATCTTAATTACAAAATGAATTTTTTTTATTACATTTTTAAAGTTTAATAAAAAATAAATAAAATAATAAAAAAAACATACCCTTTTTTAGTTAAGGAATTATTGTTTTTCTAATTTAGCTTAAAAAAATAAAAAATCAGATGTTTTGTTTTTTCCAGTTTATTTTGAAACAGAAAAACCAAAGAATGAACCATATGCAGAATCCAGGGAGTCGTTTAATCTGTTTCTGGTGGCTCACACAAACAGCCTCAGTGATTTGACCTCAGCTTGACCTTCATGGTGTAGGGTTTAGGAGTCAGAGTGACTCCAAAGACTGGAGTGAAGTCTGGTTTTCCCGCCTCCTCCGGCCAGATGAAGCTAAACTTCCTCAGCAGGGTAACCGTGATGAGGAAGAGCTCCATACGAGCCAAACCTTCGCCGAGACACATCCGAGGACCTGAGGCACAAAAACAACCGTCTTCACTTTTTCACGCATTACTCAATCTACGTCTGCTTCACATCTCCAGCTGTGACATCACTTCCTGTGTTTTACCTGCAGAGAAAGGCATGAAGGCCTCAGGTTTGACAAACTCTCCCTGCTCATTCAGGAAGTTTTCAGGGTTGAACTCATGAGGGAATGTCCACTGTCCTTCTTCTCTCAGCACTGAGTTCAGGTTCTGGATGATCATTGTGCCCTGAAGTTCAACAAAAAGAAAGTTCTCACATGTTCACCAAGAGGTGCCAAAGCTCATCGATGACTTTCCACTTACCTTGGGAATGGAATATCCCATAAGATCTGTGTCTTTAGTTGTGCAGTGAAAAGCGCTGAGGGGAACAGTGTTGGCAAGCCTTTGAATTTCATGGATCACAGCCTGGACAGAAACATGTTTTCAAAAAACTGTTTGAATGATATTAAAATAACAGTTTCAGTTTTGACAAACACAGAAACAGTAAATGATGACATCACAGTGTACCTGCATATAAGGCATACTGAGTCTGTCCTCGAAAGTGACCCGGTCCTTCCCCTCTAGAACCTGGTCTATCTCCTGCTGACATTGTTCTAAATTATAAGAGAATATGTCAGTAACTGTGCTCTATGTTCTGCAAGGTTCAAAGTCTTAGTACTGGTAAACTACAAACATGTAGAAGGTAGGATTAATAAGAAAAGGCTAAAGATGTGTAAAAAAACAAAAAAAGCGTGTAGTTCTGGATCGTTGCTGATGAAAATCAAGCGATTTAAAGAGCAATGTGTGACTTTCTACTGAAGCAGAAAGGCTGTACTTAGTTTTTGACATATAGAGACTTCAATTTTGTTTCAGTTTTGTTACATAGATTATCACTTTTGTATGATTAAGTTTAGACTGAATTCATTTTAAAATGCGGTATCAACTGGATCGTTTTTATTGTCAATGAAAACATATTTACTCTGTTTCGAATTACAAAGGTGATGTTGTGCAGATGCTGTAAACCACGACTGGACCGTGGCAGAAAATGGCAAAAACAGTTAGGAATGTTTGAGAAATGAGGGCGTACCTTGGATGTGTGGGTAGTTCATGAGGTACAGAAACGCAGTCAGCAGGGTGTTGGAGGTGGTGTCCGTCGCAGCAACGTAAAGATCAAAAGAGATTCTTCTCAGCTGCTCCTCAGAAAACATGGACTCATCATTTTTCTGAAGAACAGAAAGTGATTCATTTGAGACAAACAAAAAAAAGTGAAAGCTCTATCAGCTTTTACTAAAATAAGCAGAAAATCTGTGGCTGAGAAAAATCTATCTGAAGAACACAGTTTCTAACTTCATCTCATTTGCATATTTTTTACACAACATAATTTAGTTTGTTGCATTTACACACATTTTCCAATTCATCCAAATAGCAGTCAACAAAATCCCGTGGCTCTCCGGAGACTCTGGTTTTCTTGTGTTCGTTCACCAAACACCGAGCATGACTCAGAAAAATCTAAAGTACAAAAGAATTTCAGTCACATTTAATTACTATTTCATTATCCTTCATGGATGATGTGTCTGTGGTTGTGTTGTGTTTCTGTCATTACCTCCATGTTTTCAAAGGCTTTATTGAAGGGCAGCGGCAGGTGGCGAATTAAAGGGATTGAGTCGTACAGCTGTGAAGACAGGCGGTTATTACAAAGAGTTAAATCAATTCATGGACCACAGAGTTTTAGGAATCTTACTTTTCATATGCAGTATGCACAAGTTCATCATGACAATAGCATTATAGCACTTATAAATTATTCTCCTGTATCGCTGCATTATGTAATATATAACATTTTAATGGAATCAGCTTTAAAATGTAAAACCGCATTTTGTTATAATTGGCACAAAATGTAACAATGTTACTGCATATGTGGCAGAAAGTATTACAAAATGTGTTCAAGGATTTTATTTCATTTTGGTTTGATTATTGCATAATGTGCCTAATGTGTTTTTAGTCATGTTTTACTATATTTTGGAGCCTGAGTTCATGACATTATTAAAATATTACGGCATTAATACATAATGTGACATTACATCTCCATATTTCATCACTTTAATATATTTGGTGAGATCTTTATGTGACGAACCAAAGTAGAGCATCATGTAGAGTTGAAGGAAAATGAAACATCCCTGCATCCATTATAAATACCTGTAAATACACTTAAAATGACTATTTTCAAACTTAAACAAGTAAATGTCTGAAAGGTATGTCATGCCAATCTCACTCCCTTCACTCTTTCACTCCAATATAAAATTTATTACAATCAATTCCACAGAAAACTTCAGAAATAATATTTTTTCACTTTATTATGCTAATTATAATGATAATGTTAATCATGCTCCCATTTGTATCAGACTTTTCAAGCTCTCTATATGCATCCATAAGTTTTCTGAAGTCTTTAAAAAGTTGTGTTGAAGTTTTTAGGACTGGAAGTTCTGCTAATTTCTTGTTAGAGATTTCAAATGACGCTTCTGGAAGTTTCAAAGCAAGATTCTGATTACACATGTTAAAAAAAAAACAAATTAAATTAATAGATCAAAACTGCATTAATTCCAGTTTGACATTTTTGTAGATTACCACAAGGGTGCACCAAAAAGCAACATTTGCTCCAGTTTATAAACCAAAGGCTCTTTTTATCAGATTAGTGGCGTAACTGATGAAACAGACATTATTTACAACATTTGTACTTTGATCTTTTATACTTTCATTAACTGTTTGTTTTATTTTGGCATTAATCACATTTGTCAGTTAGTTTTGTCTGAAAATCATCCAGTAACTCACCATGGCCCAGGGCCCATTGGCTATTTTAGTCATCTCAGCAAAGCAGCGAACAATCAGCTTGATTGTCTGATCGTCGTACTTGTAGCGTTTCCCAAAGAGAACCTGGCAGATGATGTTGGAGGCGGCGTTATGAAACATGACCTGAGGACTCAGAGTTTGACCTGTAAAGACAGAACATTTAATAAAACTGATGGAAAAAAACACGACTCAAGCATAATTACTTAATGATTACTTGCTGCAGCATTAATGTGTGAGTGAATGTTGGTGTAAAACGATATAAACACATTGCGTGTTATTGTTTACATCCAAACATTTTGTGCATGCTCTCAGTGCTGCAGCGCAAAAAGACGATTCTTTTACTTGCAGGTAAAAGAGTTTTACATTTTTCTTTTTAGCTATACTAATTATACTCTTTTTAATTAGTTAACAATGTTAGCAGTCAAATGTAACGTTTAGTTTACTATTTTATTTATTTATGTATTTTCCCCATTTCTGTCGTTGTCATACATTTTAGAAAAGTGTAGTATTTGGATTACTGCTCTAACTTACAACAGGTTTGCCAAAAAAGATACCCATGTATTTCCAATGGAGTCCTATTGAACATCACAGGAGGAACAGTGCAGCAAAAACGTAAAACCAAAAGGGAAATATTTCAAAATTAAAAGTCATTCTTGTGTCGGCCAAATTGTAATACAAAGTATAATATAAATATTCTTCTTCAAAGTAACTTGTCAGTCTAAGAGCTGATACAAAGTTTCACCAATAACTAAAAGCGTCAGGCTGGAGAAAAACAGCAGGAATTTGTTGAAATATGTGGGAGCTTGACCTACCGCTGTTCTTTTCCAGTGTTTTAACTGTGTGTTGAATTTCTTCAAGGATTCTGTCCTCCATCGACTTTTTCCCCAGACCGAAGTTCCTGAGGGTCTTCAGAGTAAAGCGGCGATGCTCCCTCCACATCGGCCCATAATCAACCATAACCACACCTGCAAGAAAGAGTCCAGCTAATCATGTTCAAAGATAATGACAATCTATATGAAAGGATTTACATTAAAGACAATGATTACATTTACAGAAATAAAAAAAAAAATAATGAAATCATCTTGCAATGTTACAATGACTGCATAGATAAAAGAACCTCATGTTAATGAATGAAATCACAAATCTACACATCTACCTTTTCTCTGGGTGACATCATTTATAAAAAGGTCTTGGGGTCTTCCAGCGAAATCTGTAGCTTTGACAACAATCGCCTCCTTCATGGCCTCAAACCCGTTGATGACGACGGCTGGTTTTGAACCAATGAACAGACTGTAGACGTTTCCATACGACGCCCTGAGCTGGAAGCAAACAGCACAAGTCATTTTTATTAGATGCATCATAGTTTTAATTCTCATGTTACTTACAGAACTAGCTAAGCATTTTATGATGAATTGTCTACAAAAAGATAAAAATCCATATTTAACCAAATTAACTTTTTGCCAACTGTTTATATAAGGAAAAGGTAATTTTTTGTTATCACAATAAAAGAATGACCAATTTTCTAAATAACAACTAAACATCTCAAGGGAAATAGAAATAAGACACGAGAGAGAATAAACCAGGAATCAGGCTTTTGCCCGTTCGAGAACAACCCATACAGTTGAAACCAGACGTAAAACCTGTGTGAAAAGTTCCTTTGCTTTTTTTTCTCTCTGACCGAAATTAAATAAAACTAAACTTTACAGTATGTTTCTTTGAATTCAGAAGTTTGCGTATATTTCTGTAGCAAATGCAACTTGGGTCAAATGCAGGCATACTTCCAGAAAATTTACACAACAGTTTGCTGAAATTTTAGCCTATTCCTCACAACAGGTCTTTGCTCACAAACATCTTTTCAGCTTTATGTAACTGAGATTATCACTGGATTTTGCTGTTCTGAAGTCCATATTTGATGGTTCAGGTCGTCATTGTCCAAGACCCATTCAGCTATGTGGCTCATATCTTCAGATGTTGCTTCAATATTTCCATGTTTTTTCCTCATGATAAACCAAAACGATCTTCCAAACCAACAGAAAGGTTTTTTTGTACTTTAATGGGATATTTAACCCACTCATTATTTGCTCATCAAAACTGTGAGTTAAAGTTTTTCATTTCTGTAATACTCTGTGTTTAGTCCAGGTTAACTAGGTGTGGGTTAGTGGGTTTACTCCAGACATTGTCTTACCCTCTCAAAGTCCTTTAAGGGGTTCTCTAAGTTCAGATGCAGCAGGTTCCCCAGCAGAGGCAGACTGGGGGGTCCTGGTGGGAAGTTCTTGGGTCTGGGAGGTTTGAGTTGAAGAATGAAGAAAGCACAGAGTCCCAACAGAAATAGAGAAACAAACATGGTGGTTCGGATTGGATTAAACTGAACCGCAAAGCTGCTCGAGTTCTTATGAAAGAGCAGCTCAGCTCTCAGTGCTTTGCTTGTGTACTTTGATTCTTTGTATTTAGAGCGAAGGAGGAAATCAAATATGAATGGAGAACTGTTTACAGCTACAGGAAGTGACGTATATGGGCGGTGTTGCAGTTTTCTTTGGGCTAAAACGGTACATCTGGGCAAAAACGTCACATAAAAAAAATCTTTTTGAAAAGACATTTTAGTATTAGTTATTTTTTATCTTAGTAAGTAACCTGACATACTGAATAAAACCCATTTACTTTAGAAAAACATTTAGCTGCAGCTCAAAGAAATATTTTCAGTTTTTCTCAATAATTGCAATGTCTTGTGTGTGTTCACTTATTTTAAGTTTTATTGTTTTTTTTTAAACATGTTTTTGAGCACAGGTGCCACATGACTCAATGCAAAAGAAAATGTTCTTAGAGTTTTAAACTGCTGTTTTTCTACATAGCAGCTTGCTGTGCTGTGCTACAGTGATGCACTAAGTTGTTCATAAAAGGGAACTGGATTTTCAGGGACAAATTCACAGCTATTTGCTGAATTCATACAAACTACAAATAACATTGTGTAGCCTACTTTTCATCTCTTAAAACAAAACCAAATGCA